ATTCTTCATACATGATGATGGCTGTGGGTGAAGGCATTAGATGAATGGAGAATAGGTGGCAGAGGAAAAGGTAAGGCCAGACATGATGCTAAAGCATCCGATCCACGCCCATGATGTTCCAGCATCCATCACAATGCACATGATGCTATTGGGCACAGCGGAGGATTATGGCTATTGTCCTTGCAGGCCAGCCTCGCCCGATCTACACAACCCTGCATCTCTCCCATGCACTGGCAGCAATGAATGAAAAGCCCGCTGCTGTCCCTGTGCGTCCACTCTACCTAAAGTGTGCCCGTGCACGGCGGAGGGCTCTGCACTGACAACTTTCTATTCATAATGGGAAAGCACTTACTTTTTGTGTATCCATTGCCAGGCCCCGGACCCCTCCAAGCTATTGTAGAATAGGATGCGTGAAGTAGATAAAGAAATGACTAGGAGTGATGAGCAAGCAGCCTCAGCTCCACCTCCTCCTCCTCCCGATCTACTCAGCTGCTGCACAAGTGCACACAGCTCACAACGCAGGACCACAGAAAGCAGGGCGACCAGCGAGATGACTGGGAGGGCGGAGGCAGAGTGGCTTCTGATGTACCATAGAGTAAGGAGACAGGCCGCCGTGACGCCAAGCCCTTTGTGAAGCCAGCGGAAGACATTTTACTTGAGGGAATGGGGTGGCTTTTAAAGTGACACTGATCTCAGGAGTAAAACCTTAAAAATGCATTCATGTACCTTAACTATTAACAAAAATGTAGTTGATTTGTGTATCACTCCGCTGTAGATCCTCTAATCATCTCTGAATGGTGCTGACACTTTCGTTCCTTCCTTCTGGAGGGTGGCTACTTTTGTTCCCCATGGTCCCTGTGTGTTGTAAAGCAACCACCACTCCAAACTCACTCCTGTGATAGATTACAGTCTCATGTTTAGTTTAGTCATTTGTATTGAGATTGTAGTCCATCACAGGAGTGAGCTTGGAGCGGTGGCTATTTTACAACACACACAGGGATCATGGGGGAACAGAAGTAGCCACCCTCCAGAAGGAAGGACAGTGTCAGCACCAATTCAGAGATGATTTGAGGATTTACAGCGGAGTGATACACAAATAAGATACATTTTTAAAAATGTATGCATAAAATTAGGGGCTTTGAGCAGACTGCAAGCCTCTCTGAACAATTTAAAAAGGGGATCAGTCGCCAGACATAAACTGAGGACACACTGGGGGGCGGCCAGTTTTGTTTTGTATTCTGACAGGGGCCGGCGGCTGCTGTCAGAATACAAAAGGAACAGAGGGGATTCCTCAATCAATGCACTCATGGAGGATGGAGGAATTTGCTGTTTCTTTCAGCTCGCGGGTTGAACAAGAAAAATTGAGCAGTGTATGGTCAGCTGATGTACTGACTGCTAAAAACAATGGACATTTCTCTGTGCTCATGCCCTTAGTCCTGTCTGCTGCCTTTAATACAGTTGAGGAGGAGAGAAGCTAGGGATGCGCCGCAATTTTGGCCGAAAGATGGTACTTTCTGCAATTTTGGCCAAAATTTCGATGCATCCCTACTTATATCCCCCTCCCCCAACTTCTCTATTAAGATTAATAGAAAAACTATCCGTCCCTCCACTCATCCCAGGATGGTAGGTGTTAAGCTGGTCATACACAGTTATTTTTTTTAACCATCACACTTTTAAGTCATTGTGCTAGGTTGTGGTGCTTTTATTTTTGTTCTTATTTGTTACAGCTTCCCACTGGACACCTTCACCTGCTAATCCAGAGTCGCCCACCATTAGCCACGCCATAGATCCCTTTACATCTGAGAGCTAGAGCTGCAGCTAACGATTATTTTCAAAATCGATTAGTTAGCCGAGCGCTGCACATCCCCCCCCTTTTTTTTTCTGCCATCCTCTGGAACTCCCTAACACAATCTATTTGGCTATCTCATACTCTGTTTACATTCAGGCGATTCCTAAAAACTCACCTTTTCAGGGAAGCCTCTCTTCCTAATAACTGTACCTTTACTTCTCTTGCCAGCTCATCCCTCACAGTTATTACCTTTTGTATCACTTGTTCCTCCTACTAGATTGTAAGCTCTCATGAGCAGGGCCCTCCTAAGGCTGGCCATACACCAATCAATTTTTTGTTCAACCCATGGGCTGAACGAAAAAAATTGACCTGATCATCCAACACAAACAGCGTGTCGATCGAGGGATCCCGCTGTTTACATTGTATTCTGACAGGTGCCGCCGGCCGTCGGCTCCTTCGATCAGCTGATCAAGGATTACTGGCTGAAAGGGAGCCGACAGCCCCCAGACACTGTGCGAATTTCGGGCTGGTACATCAGAAACTGGACAAAATTCAACACGCACATTGCTCACTCCTTAGTTAGAAAAACCCCAGCACACTCCGGACTTCTCCACATTGATGCCATCAGTGGGATGGTGTCTTTACTACATAGTGCTCACTTGCCTGTGTTTATTCTAGCAATGTAAATGTTTTAACCCCAAAGTACTCCAAAGTATGTGCAGACTCCACTGTATGTATGATAAGTACTCAGTGACCAGACTCCACTGTATGTATAAGTACTCAGTGACCAGACTACACTGTATGTATGATAAGCAGTGACCAGACTCCACTGTATGTATGGTAAGCACTCAGTGACCACACTCGACTGTATGTATGGTAAGCACTCAGTGGCCATGGGTTTGTACACCCCATTGACATCCATCATAACATAACAATAAACTTAAATGATAAAGTAAAACACAACAACGATTGTGGAATAACTATAGGCCACGGCCCCTTTATTGGGTTTTAATCAATTTAACCAATAAATAGACTTTAACCTTTATTACCAAACAGAACCGCTGTTAACCATTAACAGACCACCATGCTTAGTCATTAAGACTCAAGCAGCAATAACTTAAACCAACCAAATTACTGTTTACCAACCACTGTCCACCCACAAAGTGGGCGACATTACCCCATAAAGATTGACCGCAACAAGGGAAAGTACAGTAAAGGGGAGGGTGGGCGGGAAGGAGGTGAAAAGATCCAAAAGGAATTGTGAAGATAATCCAGAGGTGAGTCCAGCTGGCAGTTCTGAGGCAAATGCTGACACTGTCCAGTGACAGGAGTGACTATAGAGGGGAAAGGTTACTCTCATTGGTCAGCTGTTTTTACACCTCTATTTGAATATAAATAGTTTTAAAAACACATGGGTGATAGGGGCGACAATCCCATGGGGCCACTTCAATTTTTTTGCTTCCTTGGCCCTAACAGTCTCCACTGTATGATTAGTACACACTTAGTGACCAGACTCCACTGTATGTATGGTAAGCACTCAGTGACCAGTCGCCACTGTATGTATAGTACACACTTAGTGACCAGACTCCACTGTAAGTTTGGTAAGCACTCAGTGACCAGACTCCACTGTATGTATGGTAAGCACTCAGTGACCAGTCTCCATATTTTTAATCCTGTTATGATATGCATTTACCTTTTATTTTAGAAAACAGTGTTGTGCTTTACCATACTTAAAACTTAGCTATCCCAGATACTTCTAGGTGAGCTGGTACCTTCATCTGAAAAATGACAGTTTTTAACCTCCCTGGCGGTATGATTATTCAGGATTTTAGTATCCCAAAGCGGTACATTGTTTTTCATGGAAATTTGTTGTTTTATATTGTAGGCCTGTAATTCTTAGTAAATCTTAGGAATAACTCACCTAAATCTGTCCAAACAAGAGTCCAGTAGACATCCCAGGTATGATAAAGTTTGAAACACGAAATTAAAAAACTATAATATAATAAATTATAAATAATTATAAGAAATTATAATATAATAAATAATTATAAAAAAATATAATATAATAATTAAAAAAATGGTCCAGTAAATGGGTATTCTGGGGGCCTTGCCTGATCCGTACCACAGTAAATAGAGTACCAAGTTCGCACATCACTGAGCTTGTCGCTGTTTTAGGTCAAAAGCGGTTTTAGACCGGGTAGAAAACAGCGATAGTAAATTAGAATCACTTGCACAATTGAGCAATAGTCATTCGTTGGGAAGTTCGTCATCAGACACTGAAAGTTCCCAACAAATCGCTCAATTCAGGCAACGTCCCTTTTGACCTAAAGGGACGCTTTTTGGATGCCATGGACGTTCTCAAGTTTCCAGACAGAAAGTACAGCAAAAGTACAGGCAGGGCACTGGACAAAATTGAAGTGAAATAGTTTGATAAATAAGTGTAATAATATCAGATTACATTGCATTGTGTGTATTTGTATATTGCAACTTTTCACTTCTGAATTTCCCGCCGGCTCTGCCCACAGCTGTGACGCACCTGAAAACGAAACTAAAACTCAGATGCCGGCTCTGGTTCGGGGTTAGCGATCTTGGTACTGAAAATTAACCCCGAGCCAGACTCTGGAATACCGCCTAGGAGGTTAATACTTAAAGTTTAATAAACATGTTTTTAGCAATACATATCTGAGGGCCTCCTGAAGTAGCAAGATCTCAATAACACTGCGAAACATGTCGGATCACTTGTCTCTAGTACTGGGAATACCAATTTAGTATTACAGTATTAATGTATTGACATATGGTGAACTGCACCCTATATAATATTGGCCTAGTTTTTACTATGAGACAATCTCTCAGGATATAATTATTTATGCATGGATATAATTCCCTGTACAATGTAGATAAATTGTTCTTAATAATAAAAAAAATTATTTTATAGCCATTTAACCTCTTTGTGATGGAACCATTAAAGTCCTGCATGATTGGTCCCTTACTGTACTTAAAGTGACATTAAACCCTCAGATTTTTTAACATAAACCAATACTGTAATGTGCGCCTTACTGTAATCCATGGTTGTATCCCTTCTCTTTGCTGCTCTTCCTTTTAAATCCTCATGTCTTCTCATGCTCTGCAGAACTTCCCTTTGCAGCTCAGGGCCTCTTCCTGTAGTGCTGGCTCAGGTTACAAGCCTATAGAAACTAATACACAGACACCATGTAGCCATTCCAGAGACAAGGCAGTCTGCTGCAAAACAGAAGTCCTGCCCAGCATGAGAACAGATACAGATTTAAAAGGAAGAGCAGCAAAGAGCAGGGAAACAACCATGGATTACAGTAAGGCGCACATTACAGTATTGTTTTATGTTAAAAAATCTGAGGGTTTAATGTCACTTTAAGTAGCTGAAGTAATTTTGTGTCACTTCCCAAGTTAACTCTCTATTTTTAATAGGAAGGTTACCCTATATTTTAAAGAACATTATTGTATTATTACATTCAGACCTAGTAATTTTCCACACAGTCATGTGTATTTTTTTCCAGATCTGTGACGTAATTACATTTAAATGAGGTTGTTTTTCCTCTTATGACTATTAAAATGAAGGTCTAATATTCTGCTTATGGACTGGGTCGTAATCCTGAAAGAGATAATTGGTTTATATACATTACTCAGATTTTTCCATATGTTTATTGGGTCATCCAGTTAATATGCTATATGATGATTACAAGTGATGTGGCTTTTTCCAGCAGCG